TATAGTGACAAGGTTTTTTGCAATATAAATAATTTTAATAATGATGAAAACTTTAGAACAAGTTTTTTTTTTTTTAATGAATATAAAATCAGTGGTGTGAGTAACTTGTTTATGTTATATGAAAAAAAATAAGTTTATTGCATAAAAGGTTGTGTAGAACGTTTGAAACTTGGTTTTACTAGGTTACAAGGTCAAAGTGGATAGATTGAGGGGTTGTCAACTCATTTCATGTGTTGCATTAACCAAAAAAGTTTCAAACCATAAGGGCAGGGATAACAATTATACAAAATATAAGGGTAAAAAAATGAAATTTAATTTTTCAACTTACAACCACTATACTGGAAGAGTTAGTTAGATACCAATTGGGTAAAAACCATAGATTGTTTCTATTACATGATGGTCAAATCTTTTGTCTATTTATTTCCTTTCCGGGCTAGAAAGCGGTCCCGAGCTGCTTGTATTCTAGCATTGGAGTCATCGCCATTTTTCACCTCTTTCTCTTTCTCTTTCTGGGGACCACCCAAATCATCAGCTGTGCTCACCACCTCGGACTGGTTCGATCCACCACTGCTCCAAAGATTTATATATTAATAATATAGATACAAATACATTTATATATATGGGAAAATAGAGAAAAGCACTTATACTTTCACCATTTAGCTACTTAACTATAGTCTAGATATTTTTATTTTTTTTAGTGTATAAATAAACCATTGGTAACCTGAAGAAATTATTTTTTAAACCGTCAAAAAAGACAGAATGGATTAATCACTGCACAAAATAGTTAAGTGGCTAAATAGATTAAATAGTGAAAGTACATTGGGTTATCCTTTGCCATGTATAATTTACGTAGGTATGTAATTAATTTACTTCAAGGGTATAATGTAGGTAATAAGAACGTACTTTATCTCAATACCAATACAAACACTTTATTTTTTTACCCCTAATAGCAATGTACTTACCACGAATATCATTGTTCATTGATTTTTACACATAACAGCAAAGTACTTATACTTTTTTACCACTAATAACAAAGAGCTTACATTCCACTACCAATAGGGCAATGTACTTATTTGTTACATTTAAGTATTGCCATTATCTATTAACAGATGTGAGTACATTGCTATTATGGAAAACAAATTGTAAGTACGTTGTTATTATGCATAAAGGATGCAAATACATTGCTATTACGGGTTATATTTCTACTATCGGTAAAAAAATAAAAAACAAACTATGTTTTTGACTGCCTAGACTACTTAGGGATTGCTTAGGCAATGCCATGACAAGTATGTATATATGTGTGTATTGAATATAAATGTAGCTCTAAACAAGTTAAGTTACATCATGGAACCTTTTATGTACCTTAGTTTGTTGACATTTAGCTTCTCAAGCTTTTGCAATATTGGGGTCACCCATTGCATCTCTACTTCACACAGATTGCGCATGTATGGGCGTGAAGTGGAAATAAGTTCATGGTACACAACATAATTTGGAAGCATTCCTTCTTCATCTGTTCGCAGCACGGAAGACGGATGCACCTACCAACACACAATAATCCGTTTGGTTAGAGTTAGATCATAGATGGAATGGAATCGGTAATTACCACTCCGTTATCATGTTGGAATGGAATGAGTCATTAACATTTAACACCGACTGTGTTGTTACCTGGACAAGTTGAGACTTGAAGCCAAGAGTCCGGTAACCATTATGACGAATCATCCGCTCTGCCAGCTGGCTTGCATACCCCACACACAAAGCCTTTCTTAGATTCTTATAATTTTCTTCTCTATCTCTCCTTCTTTCCTTTCTTTTTATATCTAAGCCTCCTGTTTCAGTAATAATCAAACACACACTTCCATTAAACTATGCGTCCATTTTGACATCATATAATCTGAAAAGTTAAGCATATATTTGAGAAAATATGTTTCTATTGCTAACCTTTTGCAACCTTCTGCATTATTTGTGACAATTGTTTCCGAACATCTTTAGCAAATAGCATCCCACGTACCTGAATATAACAATTTCAACAAAACAAATCATTAGTCTATATGGCTATGCAATTTTACAAAAAAATAAAAGAATAACTACTACCTGTAGGTTGTTATCTTTACACCAGTCAATACTATAGTCAACTTCATCCCAAAGCTCATAGATCTGAAGTAACTGGATGTGATCACCCAAACCAGACCCATCAGGAAGATCTGAAGGAGGATGCTTTCTCTTCCTGTCTGTGTTTTTGCTGCAAATAAGAAATGGAAGGAAAAAGTTAATATTTACAAAATGGTGAAGATTTTTTTTTTAAATAACATGTTTAAAAAAGTATACCTTCGTCCAGGAAGCAATGTACCTTCCACTGATAACATAGCAGCTACACTCAAAGCTTGCGATAAACAACCATATTCATTCGCCTCAATTAAAGTCCTTGCAAGTGAAGGTTCCAAAGGAAGCTCTATCAAAAAGTCAAATTTTCAGTATATTGTTTCAATTCAGCAATCATCATAAGGAATTAAGGATCCAGTTAAAAAAAGAAAATGAAATACCTGACATTGTTTTTCCTATAGGCGTAATGCTCCCATTCTCATCTAAAGCATCAATCAGAAACAACTGTTTAAGAGCATCTTGTAAAGACTCATGCGAAGGTGCATCAAGAAAGTCAAATTTAAGAATATCAATATCTGGAAGATCCAAAGATTTTAAATAAAGAACACTTCCAGCTAAAGAAGAACGTTGTATTTCAGGAACAGTGGCTTCCAATAAATTGTCTTGGTAAACAGCCAACGGGTATAACCGAAAACACTTCCCGGGTCGTGTTCTTCCTGCCCGACCCGCCCGTTGGTTAGCTTGCACCCTGCATTTTTATTAAAGTTTTAAAAAATAGCATTCTACTTTCAAGAATATATATAATATATAGATTATTTATTACCTGCTAATCTGAACAACATCAAGAGAATACATTCCACTTGATGGATTATACTGTCGCTGCTTCACATATCCAGAGTCTATAACATACCTAAATTAGAGAAGATTAATTAGAATAATAGAAATATTGACAATTTGACATGATAACAATGTTTCTTGAAAGTTTTAAAGATTTTCTTACACAACACCATCAACAGTCAAGGAAGTTTCAGCAATGTTTGTTGCAACAATGAAACGCCTACAGTTTGGAGGTGGAGGATTAAACACTCGCACCTATAGTTTATAAATCACACACCATTAGTTATTACAAAAATGTTATTTGATGGATGGATAAATAAACACTACTTGCCTGCATTTCAGGTGGCAATGAACCATGAAGTGGCAGGACTATGGCATCCATACAAGACCCTACTTCAAGGCTTTGAATTCTTTCCTCCAGTTTTGATACCAATTTCTCTATGTCATCCTAATAGAACCCCATCACTTTTTAATTAAAATATAGAAGAACATCAACTATTACAACAGAAATAGATATGCTAAGACATGAAATTTGAATTACCTGCCCAGTCATAAATATCAAAATGTCCCCTTCTGGCTCATTAACGTGTATGTCTGCAACAATATTGGTTCACCATTATAAGAGTCCAACAAGTTTTAATAACAATGAAGGAGAATATATTCTGTGCTTACCAATAGCTTTTTTCAGAGATGATTCTATATAACTTTTAGGTTGTTCTGCACTATATAATATTTCTACAGGAAACAATTTCCCAGGAACATTTAGGACTGGGCAATCAGAGAAAAATCTTGACACCTTTTCACCATCAAGAGTAGCTGAAGTGATCAAAACTTTCAAATTGGAAGCACGCAGTCTAATCAACCTTTTCATCAGCCCCATTAATATATCCCTATATTAAAATGGCTCGTTAGCTTTACATTTAAGGGTTAAGTTATGGGATAAAGTATGAGGTCTTACGTGTTTAGACTCCTTTCATGAGCCTCATCTAATATGACAACAGAATATTGTTTGAGCTCAGGGTCAGAAAGGCTTTCACGGAGGAGTACTCCATCAGTAAGATACCTGGTCAAACCAGAGTATATATTATCATTAGAAATCAGTATCACTTGCCAGAGGTAGATGTAGATAATGACATTAGTTTACTTAATACAAGTTCTCTCTGAAGTTCTGTCCTCGAATCTTATGGCATAACCAACTTCATCACCCAGTCGGACACCAAGCTCCTGTGCAACCCTTCTGTTGTCCATGTCAGAAACAAAAGCAAAACAACATTATTTTCTTAACAAAAATCGCATTTTCTGAATTGTTTACCTCAATGGAGAAGTTGGAAAGTAACCATTGAAACGGAATTCAAAAAGCCATGAGTGGTGTTAAATAAGGTCTATATAATGGAAGGGCTAGCGGTGCCGTCGTTGCCAACTATCTTATTTAATTTGTAATGATTATGAGATATAATGAATCACATGCTGATGTTCGATCACTGAGAATATAATTACCTAGAAACAGATACGGCGGCGACACGGCGTGGCTGGGTGACGGCGATGGTTCCGGCCTTCGTGTAGCCGCTTCTGTGTAAAATCTGAGAGAGTTGAGTGCTCTTCCCTGAACCCGTCTCACCAATTACCACCACTACTGGATTGTGATCCACGGTTTCTAATATCTTGTCTTCAAATTGTAGAATTGGGAGGTTCGCCATTTGAAACTTTTATAGAGCCGACTTCAATTTGAACAAAAGAACGAGGATTTTGGGTCGATTTGATTTACTACAATATCAATATGATTCCCTCGGAAATTTTTGAAAAACTAGGTCAACTATTATTATCTCAGTCTCGTTTAAAACCCACTTTTTTAGTCAGAGGGTTTTTGGGTTGCTTAATTAGGGTGTTTGGATTGGTTTGCTAAAAGTGTTTTTAGGGAAAAAATAAAAATAAAAAAATAACTTATTATGATTTTTTTCAAAATAAGTTTTGAAAAAACTCAAAAAATTATTTAAAAAAAAAATGTTTGGCTTTGATTGGACATATAAAATTCTTTATACTATTGTTGAGAGTGAACAACCTCTCGAGAGCCCTTCAAACTCTCAAACTTTCAATCTGGACTGTAATAAGTCTGTATTTACGGTTAATCGGAGGTTTCAGTCGTGTTCAGCTCCTCCGCACACTTCCTTCTTCTTCCCCCATGTTCACTGTCGGTTTATGTGGCGTATATAATGATCGGAAGTTTTTCCTTCCTCAGCCGACGAACTGCCCATCTCCCACACTCTACAACCCACAATTCACTTGCAGCTCTCCTCCTTCTTTTCCCTCTTCAATCGCTAATTGTCGTCGCTATACAAAAGGCCGAATGTAATCGATCATTCCTTTAATCAATTGCTTCAAACCTTTGTATCTTCTGATCAATGATGGAGCACAAACAAAAGTGTCGTCCAGGCTCCAACCTTCGACTCCTTCATAAAAGGCATCTCCGTCTCCTGCATCAAATCACCCCATTCATCGATCCATCTAATTTTCCCATCTCTTCTCTCTTTGTTCCATTCCCGATTTAATGTTATGAGTGATTTGCTTTAGGTTTGTTTGATTAATTTCAGAAATCGATTGATTTTTCAACGATTTACTTTTTTATTTCATCAATACCTAATCGGGTGGAATTTAGATTTGGGTTTCAGAGTTCTCAATTATGAAATAAGATGATAACTTATTTACGTTTTCTTTTGGTTTTAGACTATAAACACACTAATTGCCTAATATTTCAGGATCATTAAATTTCATATGGTTCATTAGAAAGGGAGGTTATCGGTGTTGAATTTCTAACCATATAATTATATCAATTTCACATTTGGAAAGCACCAGGTTCTACTAAGATCAAATTGCTTTTACGTTCATGTTTAAGTCTTATTAATCAGTATTATAAATTACACAACTTTGGGACATTACCATTCAGATTACTAACAGCTCAATATGGTGCAGACATCATATGGAGAAGAGATTATTGATCATAAACTATTCAAATGTGATCGTTGCATCAATGGTAGTTTATAATTGCAGTAATAAAAGATTTTCGATCTTTTTTATTACCTTTCTTGATCAAGTTTTTACACATTTATCCTCAACTCAAATGATTTCTTTTAATTTCTATTGGAAAGTTTTGGAGTAAATGGCCGATTTGCAAGCTTGGTAGCATAAGGGTTGATGTTTATCAAATTAAGCTTTTCTAAGGTACAGATGTCATGCTTCTTCTTAGTGACCAATGATTCTTTTGATTCTTTTGGGTAAACTTTTGGTATAACATCTAAGATTTGATTTACATGGCAGCATATCTTCCATATAATCTGCAATTATATCAAGGAAAAGTTGATTAAATCAAGCACAAATATTGAGAAAAAAAACTTTAGACTTCATTTGGTAAGGCAATAAACTTTTAATCTATCTTTTTTTTATCTATATTGGTGATGTTGATGTTTGCACTGGCTGACCAACATTTGAAGGAAAGGTCGAGATTTAGTGATAGGGATGGATACATTGTCAACCTAGAGGGACTCAAAGTGATTTTGCTAGCGAGAATGGTAGAGTTTCGACTGTTTACCACCATACTTTTAAAAGGGTAATAATGTAATATTTCTTTATGTGAAAAATATTTGCATTAGTTTTATTCATTTGTGATATTTTGTGTATCTATCGCGGTTAAGCATTTGTAGGCTATCAATGGATCCTACTTATATCCAAGTAAATTGTTATTTCTTGTATTGTCTTTCATGATGAATTGTTTTAGAGATAATAGTTGGGAAGAAATCGAGCTCACTCACACTGTCATTGATAAAGCTCAATGTGTCCAAGCTTTTGTATCAGAGCTGAATCCCGATACAAACACCAACACAGAGGAGTTGCCAATTTCTTCATCTCAATTACTTTTACATTCATATTTACAAAAATGCCACTTCCAAGTTTTACGTGTCTGATATGGATTGGTTAGTGATCGTTTCTCATGGCTTGGCTACCTATACATTAGGAAAAACTATGAAAATGTAGGTTTTGTTTTATTAATTATTATTATACAGCCATTAATGTCACACTATTATTCGTGGAAATAGAATTCCAATTCAAGCTAGAGTAAAGTTGATTTATCTCTTATCAAGTGTTGTGTGCTTATTTATATGTTTTAACCATTTCTTTTTCATTATGTATGTTTGCTTTTTAATAAGTTCTTATGAATTTATACTTATCTTTATTTTTTGTCTTCCTAAGCAGCTTTTGTATATTTTAATCAAGCCTGTTATTCATTGTTTTTTAATCGGCCAACCTGGCCATCGGACAGGTATAAGATTAGTTGGATATGTGAGCATAAGGTTAGGTGGACATAACATGATAGTATTTTGGTAATTTTAAAATCAAAAAGCCAAAAATAGTTTTTTTTAAGCTTATAAAAAAGTTGTTTTCAAAAGTGTTTTTCATTTTTCCAAATATATTTTTAACTTATTAACTTTACAAACACTCAATAAATTAATAATTTGTTTTTAAAAGCAATCCAAAAAAAAAAAAACTAGCTTAAAACACCAATCTATAACAATTATTAACTTATTAATTTCTCAAAAGACTTTTTAGCAAAGTTCTTTTATTTAAGTTGATTTTACATTTGAAACTTATAACTTCTAACTATCTAAAAAATATCTACAAAATGTATTTTGATTTTCTTTTAAGTTAAATTTATTTTTCGATTGGAGTTAACCCTCGAATTTTTTACTTCAATTAATAATTTAAGTATTTTATTGTGACAATTCAGAGAATACGTCACCAACCGCCGTTAAAATTTAATGATGGAAGCGTGAAAATATAATAAGGACAACCTTGTAAGCATCCGGTATATTTTAGTATATTCGAATTTTTCGTCCTTAATTACGTCAACATTTAGGCTCAAAAATAAGTATATAAAAAGTCATGTCACTTTGAGATCAGGTTAACATATTTAGACTTCATAAGTTACCGTGATTTCAGAAATATAAAATTTGAAAGAATCCGACTCAGTATGGGTGAGATATGACATTTATAGTAAGTAAATATCTACCGTACTTAAAAAGTTACAACGACGAAAACTACAAGGAAATTGGTTGACTTTTGGAAAAAGACAGCAACTGAGCAATCGTAGTACTATTTAAAGTAGGAATTATGATGCAATGAACGCTTAAAACGGAAGTCGTACGAGAGCGTTATGAATTTTTATAAAATCATAACGGTAATAAAAACTAGTCGAAAAACGAAAGTCAAAACTAGAAAAAACGACCAAAAGGAAAATTGTAGTGAATGGTGAGACCTACATGAATATATAAGAGTAGTTAGGAATGAAGTTCGTATGCGAGAGTTACGGAATTTCAAAGTTGAATTTTTACCGTCACGCGTGCAATTCGGTGCGCGCATCTGACAGTCGATACGGCAGGATGTAGAGTGATGTGGCATGCACAGAGGACGACCCGTGGCAGCATCATACGGTTCACGCGCATCTGTGCGGCGCGCACTCCAAAACTTGCTATAAATAGCAAGCTTCGGGAGATCAGTTCCTTACCTCTCTCATTCGTCCTCTTTCTGCCTTGATTCGCGTGGCACTGCCCTGAGCGCCGTTCGAAGTGTTGACTTGTGGTTTCTACCCTACAACAACTTTTTCATAACTCACAAGTGAGTTCACGGCCCCATTTTCCAAACTCTTTCGCGGAGAATAGATGTTTAAAATACAACTTTACATAGTTATCACTAATTGTTGACAGATAATTATGTTCATAACATTAGGATGATATTATGTCCGGTAGATACTCTGCCCAAACTCTTTAGCTAATATTACGACTAATTGTTATACTAAATCACAATGATATATAAGATCATACCAAGTTGTCATGTTGGCCAGTTGTCAGGAAACACTGAAACTCATTATTATAGCCACTATTTAGATAAGCTTAGTACCTAGCGTTACTCTGCCCAAATACTCGGCTACATAAAACACATTATATATATATATATATATATATATATATATATATATATATAAGTAAACTCGTATAAATACAAACACGGATATCAACACGACCGACTAGGGGAGGCCCCCACAGCAAGAGTTAGATGACACAAAATTCATCAACGCGCTGATAGATTTTCAGCCAACTCCCGACCTATATTCGTTAAATCTTAAGTAAGCGGGAAAGATATGTATAGATCTATACGGGATTGACACTCTCATATGTGGTTGCTAGCTACAACCCAACGGAAAGTCAATGCAAGCGTAACTTTCTAAACACATTTTTGAAGTTCAATGAAGCATCGCGATTTTCGGGATCAACAGTCATAACTCGATTATAGGAACTCATCGTAACTTTGTTAAACTAAAAATAACTATCTTAGACTACTATTAGGGACCAAACTAAGAAAGTAGTGATAGTACACACAAACTCGAGGAAGCGGGTTTAGATAAACACGATAAACTAAAATGCGTACATAATCATAAACCTGTGGACTCACCAACATTATGTTGACCTCTCAAAACCACATGTATTCTTAGGAGAATGAACCCGACTGAAGGAGATAACCTCGGTGATGCTGCCCAGAGTCTATGTGCTTTACTTTTGTACTTTGTTTTTGTGACCTACCTGTACCTCGAACAATTATGTAACATATTCTATTTAATGAATAAATATCAACATTGTTTAATATATCAAGTGTATTACTCAATGTATATCTTTGGCCAGAATCCCAACATCCTAACGTCGCACAGCCCGGTGTCTCTGCCGACGGTCGGGGGTGTGATAGATTGGTATCAGAGCTTCAGATTATAGCCAACTAGTAATTCCTTAGGAGACACAACTATAATCTAGGGCTATACTCTAATTAGGTTTAACCCTTAAGCCTACTAAAATTTAAAAGTATTTATATTAATTACAATACTTCTCGACTACTTACGGGAGAGGTGACTAGTTTGAACTATGGCTTGGGTTGCTGGATTTCAGAACGACTATATGCTAAAATGGTCCTACCCTCCGGTACTTCTCACATGGACAATCCTTACTTGATAGTCTTGGAGTACAAAACCATAAAAATTAATAAAATACACCCAACCTAAGATTTTTAAAGATATAGAGAAATATAGATACACTCATATAAATATATCTACTACCCACCAACACAAACCCAGGAAGTCGTAACTCAATATTTTAGGTCAAAAACCATATTTAGAGTTGGTATAGTACAACGGTTGTACCACAACTAGACCTAGAATGCGCAACTATGTTTTATTATGGTGGGACTTCTGGACTGGATGCATAGACAAGGATTCTATACTCAAAGGCTTCTTTTAAAGACTTCTTTGCCTGGGGATTCCCGACTCAACAACATCTACACTCAAGGGATTTTCGCCTGAGGAACCGCTATATGTGACTTACTGTAACACCCATAAAATTCAAGCAAAATTTAAACTTTTAAAAACATTTCGAATCTATTAACCATTACAAAACTTGTTTTCAAAATGTATCATATCAGAGTATCCCGGAAACAAAGTCATAAAAAGTGAGGAGCTGTACGATCACGCTTTCGCCTTGCCATGATCCCCTAATGTACCTGAAACAATAAACTGAAACTGTATGCCCGAAAGCTTAGTGAGTTCCCCCAAAATACCCATACCCATAATAATACACATATAATCATAAACAACATACTATGGGTCTAGTCAACCATCGGGTTGGAATACCCCAGGCCCACAACCAATAGGTTGGAATGCCAACATACTATGGGTCCAATCATCCTCGGGATGGAATACCCCAGGCTCACAACCAACAGGTTGGAATGCCCACGTACTATGAGTCCAATCATCCTCGGGGTGGAATACTCACGGCCCACAACCAACAGGTTGGAATGCCCAGTTCTATTGGCTTTCGTACAAAGCAGATAAGCCTCAACCGCCAAACAACATGTGCACATATAACAGATAATCACATAACAATCTATAGACAACAACTGATCTAACGGATCATACCACATACCACATAATATTATCCTACCCTCTAGGATACCGAACTAACAGGTCATACCACATATCATATAATATCATCCTACCTTTTAGGATACCGATCTAACAGATCATATACTAGCATAACATAACCAGATAACAATTCAAAGGGCCGGCTTTGGTGCCTTAGACGGTTAGACCCTGTTGATATAGTGAGGATAACTCACCTCACAATGTTGAAGTCCCGTAGACACAATCCCAACTGTTGGATGACAGATTCCCGAACTATCAATATCAAAACATCACCCAATTAATAATTGGGTCCCAACACATAACCACAAGTTCTTGGAGTAACAGGCTACATTACCCCATCTTGGCTTGATTCAAGCCCAAGGCCCAACATATGGCCCAATTTTCCAAATTGGGCCCCAAACCTTTACATGGTCATAATTAAAGGCCCAACTACTTAGTCCAGTCCAAACATTTGGCATTTCCAATGGCCCAATATCATATAATCATCAATGCCCAAACTATGGCCCATCTACGGCCCAATTTTCCAAATTGGGCCCACACCCTCATATGGGCCTTACCCTAAGCCCATCAACATATTCTAGTCCATATGATTATTCTTGGATGGCCCATTAATATTCCAATCACCAAAGCCCAATGGAAAGGCCCAACTCAAGGCCCAAGAGAAATTAGGGTTTTCACATAAAATGATGATTAGGGTTAAGTTTTCCTACTTAACCCATTAAGGACTTAATCCATTAAGTCCAATAGTGCTTTAGGTTAATTTGCCAATGATTATTATATAATATTCTACGTTTAATAAATAATTCTTGTGCGGTCCCGATCAATCCCAAAATTAGGGTTTTATGCCATTAGAGTTTTCCAAACCCTATTTAAGGTTTCCAACCCAATCTTAGCCCAATAGGCCCAATAGCTAGGTCCTTTCATCAATTAGGGTTCATTAGGCCC